TTTATTTCTTGTGGACTAAATGTAAACATATTTTATGTAAAATATTGTACTCAGGACAGTACTAAATAAAAAATAACATTCGTTTTGTATGATCTCTCTTATTTTGTTAAAATTATTCACATTTTCACAGATTCTGCAAGGGGTTCCCAAACTTTCGCATGCCACTGTATAAGTAACTTCACATGTCAACTAGCAGTCATTAGAATATTAGACTGTCAGCATAATATCTGCCAACACTTTATTTTGATGCTCCCCAACACACATAGAAGTACAACTTATTCTACTAACCCTAACCTAACAGTCTACTAGTACTCTAATGAGAGTTAGTTGACATGTAGTTGCAAAGTTACATATATTTAGTAGAATGTTGAAAATGGACTAAAATGGACTATTGAAATAAAGTTGTAATACAATGCAACAGATAAATCCACAAAAAAAATACATCTTTTATATGCCACAATTGCACAGTGTAAGACGGAGTAAAGTGAGCCTGAAAGGTGCAGCTGGATGATGCACTGTATTAAGCCTTGTCCTCTTTAAAAGCATGAAATCTGATAATGTAATAATGCCATTTTGGGAGGCGCTTTATCTTGCGTTTCACACTAGATTTACACAATACAGTCACTAGTGCCAAACTGAGCTGACTTGCCTCCTATCTTTATATCTGATCACGGGTCTTTGTAATCAGTTCTTGATGATGAGATATCAGAGCACACTGATATTCATGCTCTTTGTTGCGGTCTCTATCTCTGGATTTCCCTTTCTCTCCCTCCAGTCATCTGAATAAACATGATTAGTTCAGTTACAGACTCATTCTAACAATAATGAGGCACAGTGTTTTCTTATCTGATCAGGAAACAGTGTTTTTGTTTTCTCTGAACGGTTCGAGTCTCACTATGCCAAGCCAATAGACACAGACTATCCGGAATTGGTGTTTTTTGTGTGTGTGTGTCATATCTGGGACCCAACATCTATTTTGTGGATGCTTCACCTCATACGCCTCTAAAACAATCTGTGCATACTGTAAACTGCCATTCAAAAGTCGCTTATGCTCACCAAGGCTGCAAAAAACACAGTAAAAACAGTGAAATATTATTACCGTTTAAAATAACTGTTTTCTATTTGAATCTATTTTAAAATATAATTTATGCCTGTGATGCAAAGCTTCAATTTTCAGCATCATTACTCCAGCCTTCAGTGTCAAGTGATCCTTCAGAAATCATTCCAACATACTGATTTGCTGCTCAAGAAACATTTATGATTATTATCAATCATGAATACAGTTGTGCTGCTTCATATTTTGGTGGAAACCATGATACAGATGATTTTTGACAAATAGAAACTTTAAAAAAACAGCATTTATTTGAAATGGTATTATATTTCAAAGTATACCATGGTATTTCCGTGGTTGTACATGTTCACAATAAATACCATGATATTTTTAAGTAAACTGGGTTTATGTTATACAACATATCTTTTAGTCATATTACCTATTATTAATATAAATGAACATATTTTGAATTATGCAAAGAATATCCTAAGTATGTTAAACGCACTGTGGTGTAATGGAGTGTGCCGTTCTCTCAGACAGTCGCTCTCTAAAATGTATTTAGTTTTTTAAGTGGAGTTTACCTATGAGAGTTAGTTGACATGTAGTTGCAAAGTTACATATATTTAGTAGAATGTTGAAAATGGACTAAAATGGACTATTGAAATAAAGTTGTAATACAATGCAACAGATAAATCCACAAAAAAAATACATCTTTTATATGCCACAATTGCACAGTGTAAGACGGAGTAAAGTGAGCCTGAAAGGTGCAGCTGGATGATGCACTGTATTAAGCCTTGTCCTCTTTAAAAGCATGAAATCTGATAATGTAATAATGCCATTTTGGGAGGCGCTTTATCTTGCGTTTCACACTAGATTTACACAATACAGTCACTAGTGCCAAACTGAGCTGACTTGCCTCCTATCTTTATATCTGATCACGGGTCTTTGTAATCAGTTCTTGATGATGAGATATCAGAGCACACTGATATTCATGCTCTTTGTTGCGGTCTCTATCTCTGGATTTCCCTTTCTCTCCCTCCAGTCATCTGAATAAACATGATTAGTTCAGTTACAGACTCATTCTAACAATAATGAGGCACAGTGTTTTCTTATCTGATCAGGAAACAGTGTTTTTGTTTTCTCTGAACGGTTCGAGTCTCACTATGCCAAGCCAATAGACACAGACTATCCGGAATTGGTGTTTTTTGTGTGTGTGTGTCATATCTGGGACCCAACATCTATTTTGTGGATGCTTCACCTCATACGCCTCTAAAACAAGTGTTTGCTATAACCTGTGCATACTGTAAACTACCATTAAAAAGTCTCTTATGCTTACCAAGGCTGCAAAAAAAAAAAAATACAGTAAAAACAGTAATATTGTGAAATATGATTACAGTTTAAAATAACTGTTTTTTTATATTTAAAAAGGTAATTTATTCCCAGTCTTCAGTGTCACATGATCCTTCAGAAATGTAATGCATCCTTACTGAATAAAAGTATTAGTTTATTTAAAAAAAATCTTACTGACTCAAACTTTTGAATGGTAGTATAATAATATTTGTTCATAACAGTGGTATCACTGTAAAAATGTAAAACAAAAAGTAGCGATGCAGTTTTTGTTTAATCATGAAAAGAAGTGGCAGATATGCTAGTTATTTGAATGCATTTCACCAGTGTTTATAAATTCATAGAGGAGAGAGTCTTCCTTGCTACAGTAGCACAATAATCTTATTTGCATATTCGTTTACCCCAGTGCATCTTAACAGGAAACCTTTACTGTAGTAGTAACGCTTTTTCAAAACACATCACACTCAATCTGTACTGCAAGCAAGTGTCGTGACTCAACAAAACAAAGGGTGCTTGCAGTGAGAAAACTGAGCGTTTCATGAGCACAGATATGTTAGATCCATTTGGATGTAGTTTATACAGCAGTTTGGATTTCCACAAGCACAGCTGGACTTGCCTGTCTGATTTAGAAATACCGTTGTAGTAATGTAGTTTTATCATGTTCACCACACTCTTTTTCTTTTGTGTTTCGTGACCCTCCTAACCTGCCGGATCCGTCACTAGTCCTTGTTCCCGGACCTCATAATTTACGAATTAAAGCATTGCCTGGAACGACTTCCACCATCTCAAATTGAATTAGCATCTGCAGTTATAACTTCCCTATGAATATTGCAGTGGAACAGGGAATGATTGTCAAAAAAAAGAGTGAGAGATGTTCAAGAGGAGCCCGATTCTGTCCAAGGACTTTCAGAAGAAGGCAGGATGGAGTGAGGGATTTAAATGAAAGTGTAGTGGATTAGAGAAATCCCTGGAACAATATGAAATCATTACAGCCGCAGTCGACATCAAAGTCCCACTGATTGAGGCCCCTAAAGCCTTTTCACACAGGGAGCAGGAACACAGCAGAGAACATGTAAACCGGAGCCGAGAGCAGCTGACCACTGCGCTCACATCCAACCGAGAGAAAGAGAGAGAGAGAGAGAGAGAGATGTACGGAGTCCAGACTTCTGGCATTTAGACAGAGCATCATGGGAAATGAAACAAATCAAACTGTCGTCCCTCAAAACAAGCATAAATCGCATTTTACAAGTAATGCACTTTCAGGGAAGGTCTATGGGGCAAGACATATGAATGAATGAATGAGGCATTTATACTCTACATTTCACTTTGACAAATATTAAAATACACACAGCCACACGACTTCAACGTTATACATGTTAACATGAGACTAGAGTGATAAAATTACTTACCTTGTTTGTGTAAAGTTAGATCCAGTTTTTCAACTCCTGTCATGAACACCCAATATCAGTAAACATTTTTCTGTTTACACAGAGAAAATTAGAGCAGTAGCCCCACACTAAGTGAATGATTTAGACAACTTAATA